AGGTAATATGTAATTAGTTGAGTTGGTGTTTATAATGTCTCACATTTCTTAGCTCTTCATAGCAGAACTCCAAAACTTTGCATGGAGATCGGCGACATTTCGTTGGGAACAGATTGGGGCAGACATTTTTGCTGGAACACCTTCCACCGTGAAATTTAACACTGAAACAGATCCCACCAGCGGTTTCTCGCATGGCAAAAATTCTCAACGTCAAAACGGTCTCCGTTTTGGCCCGCCCAATTTTGGGAATATTGTATCATTAAATCATTGTCGCCGGGCAATTTCGTCCGCTCGCATTGTCGCAGCGCCGTTTAAGCGCCGTAATGTTCTTGAGGTTACAATGGTGCTGGCTCGTCGAGCCCAGCCGTGGCCGGTCGCCTAGCGTTCCGCTGCGAAGCCCGCCAGAGCTCCACCCTTCCGAGAATACCACTTACGCTCACGTGCTGACCGATGCCCAGTATGTGCTGAAGGCAGCCGCTAACAAGTGTTTAGCGACGAGTGAAACTGAGTTTAGTCGCTACCTTGGTGGTTGATTCATTAACGCTGCCTTTTGCCCAATCGAAGCTCGGTGTATTTTTTTAAAGCAAAAGTCATGCTTTATTCACCTTTGAATTCTTACAACTTTCAAAAGGATCTGCTGGTGGCCATTGAAAACTACACTTACAACACGTGGTTAATGTTTCATCTAGCCAAGTTGTTTGGTCTGTTCAGCCAGAGCTCCCTAGTCCGTAGGTTCAATCAGACTATTTCCTAGCCATCGTATGAAGGCGACAAGCAGAAAACCATGCGCGACAGCATCCAGCGCGTGTCACCTTTCGGCGACAGAGTATTGCTAATGCCCGGGCCTCAGTGGGATTGGGACCCATGCCCGGATGGGTCGGGACTAGGCTGTATGGAGGCTGTATCCAGCCAGCGGCTGACCGAGACATATGCCAGCCACGGCGAGCGTGTGATTGATGCGACATCTGGCCAGGAGAGAGAGAGCGCCAGAGGTAGAGAGAGGGGAGAGAGAGACGGAGGGAGAGAGAGAGAGAGAGAGAGAGAGAGAGAGAGAGAGAGAGAGAGAGAGAGAGAGAGAGAGAGAGAGAGAGAGAGAGAGAGAGAGAGAGAGAGAGAGAGAGAGAGAGAGAGAGAGAAGGTGGACGGGCACACAACCACCCAGCGCCTACCACCCGCCCCAATCGTCAAACCTAACCGCCGAACTTGCTCACAGGAACTCCCCGCCTTATCCTCACAAGACACTGTGAGGGCTATTCGGAAGAACTACGACTTCGGAGTTAATAGATATGCTCTGGCGGTCGCAGCCGAGTGTCTCAAACCAACCGCGCTAGCACCGCGCCGTCACGTGTGCCCGACATTCAAACTCAATTACGGGCAGCAGTGGGACTGGATAATGCCGGTGACAGCTGGACGGTGCTGAGCCAGAAGTTCAGGATTCCTCGGCGGCGCCGGCGCCATTTCCCCGCCAAACTGCATTTCGCAAGAATGACTCGGAGCTCTAATTTCCTCAGCCACGTCGAAGTTCTCATTCACGTGACAATGGGTGCTCGTCATGCATCGTTAAGCATAAGTCACCTCACCGCGTAGCAATGGCGCTGGCTCCGCATGGCAACTGCTCAGCAGCGGGGGGTGACAGGGAACACCGGCCCTCTGTTTCCTAGGCATCCCCTCGCGTCGATTTCAGTTTGGGCATCCACCTAGCCTGGCTGCGCACATGTGCACGGACCCTCGCCTGCCAGCACTGCGTCGTAAGTATTTTGCTCCGCGCAGTCGCCCGGCTCTCCCGGCCCTCCGTGACTACCATCGAATATTGCATGTCCTTGCGGGGTCACGAGGCCGTCTGGTGACATTTAACCTTCTAAATGGCAAGACGGCGCGGGTTGCATTATGGCATTGCATGAGCGCTGCTAGACAGTTGTAAAATAATCCCGTGCAGGCGTAATAAGATGGGTAATTATATGTGGAAGGTGCAAAGAGTAAATAGGAAGAATAGAAAGCGGGGTTGCCAAATCCTGTTCAGTTGGGAGATTCCAGTCCCACCAACTTAGGCTCTAGCCTCCCAAATTTAAAGAGGAGATGAGCCAAATCCGGACAGAAATCCGTTTGTTGGCGCGTTTAGGGGTTAGACTTTGTCATTTTTCACTGCTCAGCCCGTCCAACTAATTTTGCTGAAACTACATCCCAGATAGACAGGCATGTGCCCATGTGATAAGAATTAATTTTCTAATTAATGCGATAATTCTGAACTAGTAATGCTCAACACATGCGTACGTATTTCATCAAAATGTTATTATTGCTTGGAAAATTCGCGTCCTCTTCTAACAGTCACTGCAACGTACTTCGGGTTGTTCTTTTGCCAATTTCTGATGGAATCTGTATATTGTGGTCCAGGTACGTGCATTCCGTGCACATTATTTAGAGTAGCGATGGAGACCTGCGGATGCTGCTTTTCATTTTTGGCTTTTGCACCGCGCTGGATGTTCAAAAACCTAGATCGGATGTAAAATTAGCAATATCCCTTATGTCTAGCTGCAGAAGTAAGTATACGGCTGTTGAGAACGGCGGTGCTCGGAGGCCGTTCTTAAAATGATTGGTCGTGCTGTAATCCGATGCTGTGGTTTCTTGATCCGCGAGCAAGATTTTGAAGTGGTTCTGGAGAACTTCCGAGCCTGCCCTGTCACCGTTTATCATGCTACACATCGAGTCGAAGTCAAACCGGTCGCTTCCCTGGTAGTTCCTGAGAAAAGCTTGCTTATGTGATTGATTTACGGCCTGTCACGGAAAGGAAGCATGAATTTCTTGCTGGCTTTGCTTGATATTTCAAACTAGTAACTTGTGGCACCACAGATCAAGAGGTGGCTGCAAATTAGCTGACAGGTAGCTGTCGAAAACAGCGGGGCTCAAGTGTTGCCGCGAACTCAGAACTTCATTTTGATGACGCTCTGTATGTTTTACCCAATGACATATGTCGTCGTTTTCGCAGACCTTTTGTTGCCACCGGATGATTCACTTCGTAGGCATCTTGACCTTTGCGCTTCATTTTGTAGCACTGTCCTCGCTCGATGCACGCGTCTCTGCGGGCGAAACTTATTACCCTGGGTGCTCATACAGCGCCTGTTTCCGCCACTTTTCGCAGCCCTCTCACGTGTTCTCTGGCAGTAATTCACCAAACCTCGAGCCGCAAGAGGTCGCCGTGCGCTGGCGTCCAGCTCCCCTGGCGCCGCCGCCGCGCGGGGTCCCCTGGCGACGCCGGTTCGCCGTACGGGCGCCCGTGTTGTCGGTTGAGTCAGCGGGTCCGCCTGTCACCGCGCTCGTCGCTGGACCGTTCCTGGAAGCGGCGCCGGAGCGCCGGGCCGCGTGGCGCCGCCGGTGCCGACGCCGACGCTACCGACGACCGCGATACGGCTGCATAAACACGGCTACGGGGAAGCGAGGAAAGCGTGCAGGTTTTCTGGCCGCTATCGGCCGTTGTTGTGCGCTGTTGATGGCGCTGGGACGTGGACGAACGCCGGCCGTCTGGCCGCCATCGGCCGTTGTTGTGCGCTGTTGATGGCGCTGGGACGTGGACGAACGCCGGCCGTCTGGCCGCCATCGGCCGTTGCTGTTCGCCGTTGATGGAGCTGGGACGTGAACGATCACCGGCGCTGCACGATCATTGCGGGCATGTTTGCCATCAGTGTGATCGGTTGCGGGTTTTGTGGTATTTCTTCTCTCATGGCTAGCGACTAAACCGCCATGCGGCGATCTGCAACCAACTACATGCGCTAGTGCGAAATCCCGCGCAGATCGGAAGTTCCCGGTCCCTTCCCCTGCCCCTCCCTTCCCTCTTTTCTATCAAAGCACAACATATGTTGTAACAGAATTTGGAGTGCTCCCTGCTTATGCGTGAGAAACGACTGAAACATAGAAAATACAAGACAGGGTAGTGAACGTGCCATCAGTGCAATGCATAAAAATCAGTGCAGCGACAAGTGTTTAAGATTGAAGTGAATGCTTCTCTGTTCACTGACTCACCCAGAGCCAGCTATCGGAAGCTGTGTAAGACCTTGCGGCGTCTTGTTTGTGACAGATAACGCGATGGCTGGCTTTTTAGCCGGCATTGCTTGTAGAACGCGAACCTGAGCCAGCTTGTTGTCGGGTGAAGTTGTGGGCGGCTGTGAAGCTGACGTCTGATTGTGGAGGTTTGACTTCCTTTGTTCTGAAATTTCTGCTCGGATTTCTGCGAAGTTTGTGTCCTCCCGCGGCGCCTGAGATTTAATTTGTGATATTTCTGCAATAAGTTGCGGGACCACAACTTCGTATTGCGAAAAACGCCGACGGTGTGCCACTCTCTGTCCGCCAGTGATAAGCTTATTAGTTCTGTGGGAAGAACACAGTAACAAAAACGTCTGCCAGTCCGATGGTCCACCCGCACGGCGAGCCCGCCTCCTTCCCGGATCTGTGTCATTGTGTCAATTGTTGGCCCTTGACAGGCAGCGGCCGTCGCTGTGTGCCCGAAGCAGCGGTGCTTTCGACGCTCCATGCGCCATTGCCGTATACTGCCGCGGAGAAAAAAGCAAATTAGTTCGCTTGTTGGCGACTCGGCCCTGGTCTTTGTCGCCCGACAAAGATGCAAACCGCCGCATTGTGCTGTTGTCACGTGTCAGTCATAGGCTTTGTTTCCATTACGAGTGAGGGACTTGCATGCTATCTGCATGATGTACACGTGATCGCGCCGTATGTTTGCTACCCTAACGGGTAATAACCGATTCACGGTTGCCCGGATATAGCATAATTTGCCAAAGAGCAAAATAGGTAAATAAATGATGAAGGAAAAGTATGTCGGCTACAGCACGTGATGCAATACAGAAATCCATCCAAAAGGAAGGTTAAGATTGTTCAGACGGTGAAAGCTGTGCAGCATCGGGTAACAAACCTCGTGTTTGGTACTCAGCCAGTTCGCCTGGTCCCGCGCTCACCAGCGCGGACATTGACCTGGCCTCCTTTGCTTGTGCGCGCAGGTGTGTATCAACGCCTGGTTTTGGTCGACTGTCTTCCACGCCAAGGACAGTGACGTCACGGAGAAGCTGGACTACTTCTGTGCCTTCTCTATGGTCCTGTTCTCGTTTTACTCCGCTTGCATCAGGTAAGCACGCGCGCACAGACACGTGCACGTAAGCAGCGTACACAATGCCTTGACCCGTAAGGCATTCGGGCTGTTCGCATTATAAAGTTGTTGCAATGTTGTTCCCCATGCATGTCTTATCTTGGTTAGCTATAATAGGATCACTGACGTACGTTGCCCTTACTCATTGAAAGATGGACAATTTTCGCCACAAAAACTGGCTTCCATAAGATAAATATAAGTTCATCTTAAGCCCAAGGCTCAAGAAATTCCACAACGCACTTTTTTTAGCATAGTTAATTCCTCCGAATGTTAAGTAGCTGGCAGGCCTTCGTGAAGAAACCTTGCGCAAGGCACCATGGTGACCAATACTGGAGATATTGCGATAAGTGCAAACGGTGGCCATTTACATCCTGCCGCGAAAAGGCTCTTACAGGGATGAAGCCAGTTCTGGTTAACCATCAGCCGTGCCTCCATCAGTTTTCCGGCTAAAGCCTTTTAAAACTTGAAGGAATCCTTCTCCTAAAAATTAATTGGAGCTTGTGAGTATATGATGGAATAAAGTGCGAGCAATATCCTACGAATGCCATCGCTTAGATTCGACCACGCTAGCCATAGGATATGTCGCGGACGTGTGTGTGGCGATGCGTGTGTGATCGTGTGCTATCTTTTGTGTGGCAATGCGTGTGTGATCGTGTGATATCTTTTGTGTGACGATGTGTGTGTGTGTGATCATGTGATATCTTTCAATGGTATGGGGAACGGGAACAGGAGCTGATATCTGACGCATCTACATCAAATGATCAACCACGGACGTCATCTGGATCGGTTCCTCGATGCCGCTGTTACAATGCCCTCCTTCCAGCTATTCGGACATGCTTGAGATCTGACCCTGGGCTACCCGTTACGGTAGCGATCCTTACTGCCAAGAATAGTCTGCGTCGACCGCCAGCGGTTATAAATTAATGCTGCCGCCTATTTCTGGTCCCAGACAGCCGCTGCCAATGCAAGTGCGATCCTCTCTGTTTCCAGCCACCCCGTGGCGGTCAGCCGTGTTTCGGTGGTCGCCCCCAGCAGCCAGGCCTCAAACCTTGACAGTCGCCCTTAACCTTGGCAGCCTGCCTGCGCTTGGCGGCAGCGACGTCGCGACCTAGGAAGGCGCTGTTGTGTCATGCTAGCTCGTTGTCGGCGCTGTTGGCTCAGGCCATGCGTCACAGCTCCCGCGCCGTGCAGAATAGGCGTCAGCGTTAGGCAAGCGTCATACTGAGCGCGTGACGTCACCACGTGTGACCTGCTTTGTGCTACTTACATTGCGACGGCCCGAGTCGCGTTCGCTGAACCGTCGTTTATGATCCTCCTGACGTCATCCGATTCGATTGCTTCATTGCGCCGCGTAAAATGTTGATGGCGTCTGATGGTGAATGTCCTCGGTTTGCTCGCGGCGAATTGTAGCCGCCGGAGAACGCGAGCCCCGCTTTACGAGGCGCCGAAATGTTTCCTATTGGATCGGCGCGAGCTCCTCGGCGGCGTGACCGAGGAGTTGGAGAGACTGTTCGGAGCTCGAGTCAACCTGGCGCGCCCTGATGGCGAAATCCGGGCCGTACGTAACGTGCTGGGCTCCCGAAGTTGCCTTGAGGCAGCCCCCATTTCAAGGATTCCTCGGTGCGGCTTCGGACGGGCGGTAGCGCCTCTTTTAGTTCATTTTACTGCGCCACGTCTGCAATCAGGCTCTATTTCGGGTCGGTGCAGCGGTCATGGCTCGAGTGCGTCCAGCACGAACTCCGGCGGAGGGACACTCCGAACTCCCAGCATCGACCGCCGGCGCTCCGGCCGGCAAAGTCGCGCCGACCGCGGCCTCGGACGCCACCGTCTGCTGAGCTTACGGCGGCGCGGCTTCGTGCCACGACACACCGATCCAGGGCAGGCCAGCCAACCAGACACACACATACGCACACAGAGAGCTCGAGCACGTGACCGACCGCGAACAGCACTGTCGTGGCGCAGGCTGGTTCGCCGTTGGGGACGATGAATTAGGCGGCATTGGAAGGGCGATATCAGAATCAGTGATCGGCGAGTCAAATTTTCGCTCTGGTGCGGGTGTGCTGTGAGATTTGTTGTGGTGATTCGGCTGTCTTGACCGCATTCCTGGCTCTCCTGAATCGGATGTGTTCTTTAAAGGAAGTGCTCCACATTTATATGGGGTCTTGAGCCGAAATACCCATCTTGAAGATCTTTTGGTATTGTTCACAACTTTATCGTTTTCAAGACCTAAGCCCCTCTAGTTTCTGAGAGAGAGAGAGAGAGAGAGAGAGAGAGAGAGAGAGAGAGAGAGAGAGAGAGAGAGATATATATATATATATATATATATATATATATATATATATATATATATATATATATACTTCCGCGAAAATGGGAGAGTTTTTAAAAGGCACTTTGGCATTCATGACGTTCATAATAGTGCCGTACAAATCCAGCCATTCCATAAGACATACGGTGATCAATGTCAAGAAAAATTTACTTGCCGAGGCGATCATTTCTGGCGTTCGTGAACACCATTTCCAGATAAAACAGCCGTCAGCTGGCTCTCAGCCAATGCTGTGTAAGGTACGATGACGTAATCAAACCATGACGCATTGAGCAGCATTTTTACTCAACAGCGAATTGTGCTGTCTAGAGCAGTCTTTTCCACTTAAAAGCATACCCAAAGTTGAAAGTGAGCTTGTTTTATCATATCTGATGATTGCTTTGATATCTTCAAATGTGAAACATTCCCCTTAACGTGAGAGCTGCGTAGCGAGGCTGTCGTGGGATATGCTCTCAGTGTGCCTACTCCCGGGCTGGGTGCATATCGGCGATCGTGTTTGGTAATCGATATTATATATATATATATATATATATATATAATTAATATAATATGGTGTGTGTGTGTGTGTGTGTGTGTGTGTGTGTGTGTGTGTGTGGTGTGTGTGTGTGTGTGTGTGTGTGTGTGTGTGTGTGTGTGTGTGTGTGTGTGTGTGTGTGTGGTGTGTGTGTGTGTGTGTGTGGTGTGTGTGTGTGTGTGTGTGTGTGTGTGTGTGTGTGTGTGTGTATGTGTGTTTGATATTAATCTGGTACTTATATACGCATGCATGCAACCTTGACGATTATATTGTATCTGTAAATCATACAACCCAAGTCTCCTGAACCATGCGACCAGTTTTTCCAGACCTTTTGCCAAATCGTTCCCGGCATTTTGATGGGTTATGCAAAGCCGCAACATGTACTCAAGTTTTCCCTCCCCGGTTACCGAACCAGTACATCGATCACTCACTGCGATCCAGGTCCCGTCCTCTAATCACTGTACCACCCGGACAGGGCAAGTCTACATCAATAAAACTTATATGTATATGGCCGTGACCAGCATAGTGATATAAGCCTACTTCTGTAAACTATTTGGTCTGTTGTATGCGTCTTAGCATAACCTAAACATTATTGCGTAAGTGTATGCTAGCCTTCTACGCATGTCAGGTGATGGCGTCGCCATTTTCCTTTCGCAGGTTTCTGGGGCCGAATCTGTCGTGCTCTACAATTTCGGTGACGGTGCTCTGTCTCGGCTTCATGGTCTACCACATCCTCTACTTGTCGCTGGTCAAGTTCGACTATGGTTACAACATGAAGGCCAATATCCTTTTGGGTAAGCAGAGTGTCATCAACTGGGCTGTGAAGCTAAGGCTGCTTGTTCGTTGTCAAGAAAAACTTAATAAGTGATGTGCAAACGGCTACTAATTCATGTTCTAAAGCAGTACGGTCCAGTTAGAAATTAAATACATTGTCAAATGTATTTGCAAGGAGCATTATTTATAAAGACGAGACAGTACTAATAGCCTTATTCCTCATGGAATAGCCTAGAGAATGGAGAAATAGATGGAACGGCTGGCTATTCTAGAGGGAATAACTCTTCATCTGGAAAGCCGGCTCATTATTATCGAACTGCGTACCTACTAAGCGTTCAGATCCTTCCACATTGAAGTAGCCTAACTGTGTCCTCTATTGCCTTAGTTTGCTGAGGATTGCCTCAGTTCGCAGTGACTGTTAAGCTACCTCAATGTTCTGGGCAAGCATCGTGTGACTCCAGCCTCCTTTAATCCGCCGCGCATTTTTCCATGCCTCACGCCATTTCCGCACTACAAAGCAACGCTTAGGAAATTCCGGTGCAAAGCAGCCCATTTTAGGCTTGCTTGATCCCCTATTGAAGTCAGCAACTCGGCACAAGCCGTCTGTGCATGAGATAGGGTTTTCTGATGTATTGCATATGGTGCTCTGAATTGAAGCATGATCTCAGCTGGGACGCTGCAGCCCTGCTCCTGCAAACAGATCCTTGTCTCGGAATATACAGATCTGTCTCTGATTCCATGATTCCTCACTTTGGCCCACCCATATAGGCTGAAGCCGGACTTGACAATTTGTCGTCGCTCCAAATGACTCTACAATCAATACAGAGGATCTGTGACATGTGACCCTACAGTAATGTGAACCTGTCTGTCCGCTTTCTGATTCGACTTCACGACTTGTTCCGAGCCCGAGCCACGTGCCTCCCCTCCATCAGCTTCAGTCAGCTTATCCCTGAACTTGTTGATTTATTTACGACGGCCTTTGGACTGGCAGGTGACAGGAAATATCCACTTCGATATTTACACGAAACAGATGGCGCTGATCGCAGGCCTCGACAGCCAGATACCACAGCTTATATCCGATTCCATTTCAGCCAAATCGATTCCGATTCCGACCAGTGACACACTGAGCAGAACCCAACGCTGACTGAGTGGCGGGTCACACTGTTGAGTTGACTTTGATCATGACTAAGAGACAAGCGATGATTTTGAACTTGATTCCGGTGATAGCATGTATCACAATGAACCGTTCCATGTACTACAAGTAGGCTTGCTTCTGTCGTGTATTCTGGTCGACAGCCTTTGCATGTATGATGTTCATGTGTCGGGCTGCTGTCGCAACAAGAACAGAGGTTAGTACTTACATTCCATCCCTTTAGAACTTGAGTAAGCATTCTAGTCACTTTGAAATTGTTGTTTGGGAAGACCCGTGGATTATTTCACCCGACGCACATGACTCAACTCCAACATAGACTCATGCAGGTTTGAAACAAACCTGCTCTTCCTCGCCCGGTCGAAAGTATGATTGGTGCTGGAGGCAGCTGGATGGTTGTGTGAGCCCAAACCCAATAAGCCCAATTGTCTATCCCCGTGGAAGGCTTTACATTTCTTACACTTCTCAGCCTTGGGTGGCAGGACGTATGGAGCATTCGGGCAAGTTGCCACTGGTTGAATGGGTAGCACAATCCAATTTTGTGGCTTTCTGGCGACAAACATGCCTTCTTGGTGGTCCGTAGCAACCAAAAGGTGTTGCCCCGCTTGTGGCTGCACCAAGTTGCTCAACCACGACATCTGTGTCGAGCGATTCTCCAGAAAACGCTGCACGCCGCATGTCCCTTACTATCAGTACATTTCCTTCCTCTGCTAAATGTGATTAGCGAAACCCGTCGCTGATGACAGAAGGCACGAGCGACCTCCATCCCCGGAGCGTCACCGACCGCGGCCTGGTCTCACGAAACGTGCCTGCAGGCGCCATGGGACCGGGCGGCTGGCCGGCGGCGGCCAGCGACGTGGTTCGAATGGCCCGGACCGGGACCTTGACCTTGTTGTCCGCAATCGATGCCGCGGCCGCTCCGTCGCCGGTCACGTGACGACCCCCGTCCTGCTGTGGTGGTCGCCCCTCCCCCTCCCCGCCCCCCGTAAACCGGAGCCCCCGCCGGCACGGTAACAAAGAGACGGCTGCGGCGACGGGCGGGGTGTTGACCTTGTGGTGTGCGCTCAGCCCGCTGCCTTGGTGGAGGCCCTGGGCGATCGAAGCACAAAACAGGCAGCCTCGGCTGGGATCCTGGATTCATCGCAGTCGCATTCACTGGGGGAGGTTGGCGTGGCCTGCCTTTCGGGTTTTTAAAGGAACCCTCTGAACCGACGAATGTTTTGTAAAGGAGCTCCAACTAGCTCGGTTTCAATGCGTCTTTCACTTGACTGAGAGGGCTAAATTCCTATCAAGTCAGTTCATCGACTTTTGATTTTGTTCTTTGTGATCTTCACGACAAAAATGTGAAGCAGTGAAGCTCAGCGACGGATTCTGAGCTGACCTTGCATCACCTCTTCATGTCCAATATTCCTGTAGGTGGAAACTGAAAACTTCATCAGCGATTGTGTCGCTTCTTGAGGTTGTTGAAAGTTAGAATCGAATCCTGGAATTGTAGACGTCTTAGCTCTGAGGACCGATAAAGTCCACATTAAAGTGGCAGATATCAGCGGTGGTGGAGCGGTCACCCGAGGTCAATGTCTCATCAGGTCGGGCCTCCAAAACCGCTCCGCGCATTACAAGCAGGCCTTCCGCAGCGCAAGCGTCAATATCATGATGGACATAAACGGCGTATGTAAGAGATAATCAAAGGTTGTAGTCATGGGAGGTCATAGACGGCGATGGCATCACTGCCTCCGATATCATTCTAGGCCGGGCCTGAGCATAGTGCTGACTCATGAGGCTGGGTCATGCTGTGATGGTGCGCGTGCATATCAGACTAAGAACTGTGTCGAACTGCCGTCGGGATGATGGATGTGGGTAGGAAAACGTCCCAAGGTCATGGATCGGTCAGGGATGACGCTCGTAGCAAAAAGTAGCACGTCCTGAGTTATGTTCTGCTAGCATGCGCAACGCTACGTGCGGAGGTACATTCACTTCGTTTGATCCAATCTGGAAACCCGACCGTAAGAGCTCACGCATTACCCGCAGAATAGTTGCAGACCACGTACGGTACCCAGTTACGACCTACCCAGATAGGGATACAGCTGCTCCCGCCTTTTGCCTTCATGCTTAGGCACTGACACCTCGGGCGTGAATCCGCAAGGGGGTCGTGTCTGCGTTCCACCCCGCGCTGCTGAAGTCCAAGATGGAATACCAAGCGTCGGCGCGGCTCAAAATAGCGTGGATAGCGGAGCCAGACCCCGTCAAACTCATCTTTTCCTGGGCGTTCCAAGAGGCACCTTAAAACTGTCATCAATTTAGCTGCCTCCGATCTCACCGTTCCGAGATTTCAGATTAAACATAAAATACGGGGAAAGCATATTTAGACGAAAGGAGCTTTTCCGAGACCCAAGTGGGGACAGCCGTCGCAGGTAGCAGGCAGGCTTCACCTCAACATGTCACGCCCACGCGCCGAACTCGCCGCACCACCTACAGCTCGTGTGCACACAGCCGAAACCTTTCACCCAGTACCCTGGCAATGTCCCACACCCGTCCCTCGCGCTTAGCGGCCTCCGCCTCCGCTCGGGGGGGGGGGGGCGCAGCGGAGCGCCCGGCGCGCCGTTACGACCCCCTAATGCGCGAGGACGCCCCCGGTGGCCCACGGCCGCCCTCGTCGGCCGGAGGACGTGCCTCCACCCACCGTGCCTCCTGACGAGCCCCGGGGGCAGCTGGGGGCGTTGCCCGGCGCGTGACGGGTCGGGCCAGGCCAGGTCACGTACCGGAGCGCCGGCACCGTTGGCGGCTCGTTTGGGAGGAGTTCGCCCGCCGCAGGGGTGTGGCGTGAGAGAGCCGGGTTTGGGTTTGTCAGCGAGGGGCGAATGTCTCAGGGTCGAGCTCGGAGTCGAGGTCGCGTCCTGGAGCTTATGGGGAGCGGAGGCAAGGGCAGCAGTGATGCGGACTGTGACTGCAGGCTGAGCCTGGGCGTAGCTCGGAGTCGAGGTCGCGTCCTGGAGCTTATGGAGAGCGGAGGCAAGGGCAGCAGTGATGCGGACTGTGACTGCAGGCTGAGCCTGGGCGTAGCTCGGAGTCGAGGTCGCGTCCTGGAGCACATGGAGAGCGGAGGCAAGGGCAGCAGTGATGCGGACTGTGGCTGCAGGCTGAGCCTGGGCGTAGCTCGGAGTCGAGGTCGCGTCCTGGAGCTTATGGGGAGCGGAGGCAAGGGCAGCAGTGATGCGGACTGTGACTGCAGGCTGAGCCTGGGCGTAGCTCGGAGTCGAGGTCGTGTCCTGGAGCTTATGGAGAGCGGAGGCAAGGGCAGCAGTGATGCGGACTGTGGCTGCAGGCTGAGCCCGGGCGTAGTGCTAGTTCATGAGACGGAGTGGTGCTGCCGTGCCGCGGGCACGAATCAAACAATGAACATGGGCTGAATCGTCGTCGAGACGGCAGATGTGAGTAGGAATAGTTTTGAGGTCATGGAAATGTCCCGGATGGTACTCACGACGGCGAACGGGTTAGGGTGTGGGCCTAGATTCTGCTGGCTGTCTGGTTGAAGGTGGCGCGGATAACACAGTCTTATTCCTCGTAGAGAAACCGGAAGAGTGGATAGATAAATGCGTTGATATTTCGGCAACATGCCTGTATCAAAACGAATAGCAGTTGTAAATTCAAAATTGCCTGCTGATGTGGCAATATTTTGTTTGGGTTCACCATTAACGATTCTGAATTATACGAGTCTTTAGCCTGATGGAAAACTAAATGCGATGAATTTGCATTTCAATTGCCTCTTCTTGAAGGAAACTTACCTAAATGAGACAGTAGTAATGGCATTTTTCCTCGGAGAAAAACCAGGAGAATGGAGATATAGATGCGTTGATATTTCGGCAACAGGTCTTTATCGCAACGATTAGCACTTCTACTATTCGTTTCTATCTATGTCGCCGAAATGTGGACGTATCTATATCTCCATTCTCCGGATTTTTCCCCGAGGGATAAGGCTATCACCACTGCCTTGTCTATGCGCACAATGTTCTCCGCAAATAGGCCCAGTAGGCCCAACAACTTCCGAAACCTACTTCATCTGACTAGTCAAAAATTGGTCGCCAATTTTGAACTAAATGCTGTAAATCTTTTCCATCAAGGCATGTTGCCGAAATATCGACGCATCTGTTTCTCTATTCTCCTGGTTTTTCTACGAAGAGTAAGACTATTGCTACCGTCTTACTTGTATGCATAACGCTACTCGCAAAGGCACTTGACAGCTAGTATGAATAGCAGTGCAAGACTAAGTAGCTACTTCATGCGGTTTCACATGGTTCTACAGCTGTTTCGCGTAGTTTCACGTAGCTCTATAGCTGCTTTATGTGGTTTCACTTGGTTCTACAGTTGTTTCGCGTGGTTTTATGTGGTTCTACAGCTGTGTCACTTAGATTGCGTGCGTTATTTTGGGCGCATCTACTTTCTTAAGCAGATTTCCTTCAAGAGAAAGCAAGCAAAATGTGGGTCAGTCGCATTCGCTTTTCCATCAGGATAAGAACTCAAAGTATTCAGAATCGTCAATGGCAGCCCCGAACAAGATATTGCCACATACTTCATCATTGACTGTTCGTGCACGTTCCATGATGTAGATATTGACCTGCACATCACGTCCGTGCCATTTCCGGCACTTATCATTGACCAAAACCGATCGGTGCAAGGCATTAATCTGAATTCACCCAGTTCAGCAATCATGGCATAGACAGTGATGCGTGCGGCATGGCAATCTGTCTTCATGAACAGAACGTGGCACTCTCTGGGGATCTGGAGACGAATCCACTAGCAGGAGAGACGGCGTCGGGGGCTTGATCAATCTGGTGTTACCGCTAGCCAGCTGGGCGCTAGTGTCAGAGGTCACTGCCCCTGCCATACAGTCGATGCCCTCCGTTCGATACATGATACGCAAGCGTTCGTTACGATGCGGCCAGAAGTTGACCTGCTGGCTAGGAGTAACGGAAGTTTGAAAGAACGGATGTTATCTTCGTATCCTCCCTGGGCACGTTCGCTCCACCATTGCCGACACCACCAGTGGAGCAACGACGGTACAGTGTGCAGCTAACTGCACCGCGCGTAGTCCCGTGCTCCCCGCAGTGTCAGGGTGTGTGTGTGCGGTAGCAGTTTGAGCACTGGTTGAGTGGCGAGCCCTGAGCACCACAAACAAACAAACAAACAAAACATAGCACGTCCTCAAGCGGAAATGGCAGGCGCGCGGAATGGCACACGTCCGCCGCCAGGCAGGTATCCTCAGCACCCAACCAGCCTCAAAATGGGGGGCTCGTCGAGCTTGTGATACAGACCGGGCACCGCGGCGCCGCTGATAGCGCCATCTCTCGGCAGGCGCGGTGGACGTGGCTGCCTGGCTGGCCTGGTGCCACCACCAGCGGGCGCACGCCACTTACGTCTGGAAGTGCGCGCTGACGGTGATCCTGGTGTCGGTGACGATCTTGCTGGAGACGGCCGACTTCCCGCCGCTGTCTTGGGTACTCGACGCCCACGCCTTCTGGCACCTGAGCACCTTCCCGCTGCCGCTGCTCTGGTACAGGTGAGGACGGGGCGGGCATGCCGTCGCTGCTCTGGTACAGGTGAGGACGGGTGGGCACGCCGCCGCTGCTCCGGTACAGGTGAGGATGGGGCGGGCGTGCTGCCGCTGTTCTGGTACAGGTAATCAAAACGCTCGTACGGTCATCTTGTGAACACAGCAGAAACCCAAACAAGTAGATTTGGCGGCCGTGTTTTCTGCTGTCATGCTTGTGCAGTGCTCAGATGTCTGTCATGCATGCACAGTACCTACGAAAATACAACATAGGGCGTCCCATTTCCGGGGCATTTGGAACGTCCAAAACCAGCTGCCATGCCTAACACTTTTTGCCCTGTTTCCAGTTTCCTCATAGACGATTGTCTGTACCTGCTCGGCCAGAAGAAACTCAACAAGAACGTATGATATTCGGTGTACTTCATCCGACCCAAAGTACATCCGATGCGCAATCAGCCGGCCCCTCGTGGTTTCTCAACAAACTCGCAGTTGCCCCCATTGCCAGCAGGCGGCAGCACGGTGCAAGCGCCACACCTCAAGCAGTGGTTCACATCGGTGAGCGCTTGCGGACCAGCGCGGGGTCGTGCCGGGTCGGACTGGGTCCTGGATCACACCGTCATCGACGTGCCAGCTAGCTACAACCTCAGCTGACTGCGCGAGACGGTAGTGCCTCGCCGGCAGGGGCGGCCGCCAGGATTCTCAGCCCTGAACTCTCACGGGATTTTGTACGTTTTGTAGCTTTCTGCAGTGGTGTTCTGAACTTATATTTGCCTACTTGTACGGCACCGCCTTTGGTGTCAGCGTGTAGCTTTTTTGGAGACGGACATTGAGCGAGCTGTGTGTGTACGAAGAAGTAGGCTGGAGGATATTTGCATCTTCGTCCTCGAGTTGTGCATCCATGTGACTCCTGTTCTTCTGCAGCGCGGGGTTTTGGATTTGGGGCGTCTTTCCCGCCAAAAATGCGCTCATACCGGCCTGTAAATACTTGATGATACGACGCGTGGTGCAAAGATGTATGCAGATAAGACAACAGAAGCTGCGTTACGTGACAATCAGTTTTCCCGCGAGGAGGCAGACCACCTATGGTGGACCTCTTCCCCTTCCAACAACTCTGCACGCGTCTTTGCTTCCTCCACGCGAGTCGAGCTTGTGGCAGCGGACATCCGCGCCGATGGGGAGGTCGGGTACAGGTTTCGGACCGACACACGCGCGTCGGCCGGACACTGGCGGCTCCGATGGCTTTCCCAGCGCAGCCTGCCGTGCCCACCCTCACAGCGCGTGATAGCATGCCGGGTCTGGCTCCGCGCCAGCAGCGGGGCTTGTTTTGTACAGAGCCTGGCGGCGCCCGGGCCGCCTTCGCGTTGCTGATTTTATACGTGGGAGAGGGTTAATGTGGGTGAACAGCTGGCGGCGAGGCAGACGTGCTGTGTGATGTCTCCACTGCGGCTGGCGGAAGTCTTGTCGAGCCGCTGCTGTCGTGGTATGGCCGATCTACCTCGTGCTCGGTGTTAAATTTAGTTGCCGCCGGTATTTGTACTCTGGCTCCCGATGGGCACGCACCAGGCTAGCTGGCGTCGGTTTAGCACAAGCTCATTGGGCGTTGAGCTCGGGTCCGGTGGACTCATGGAACTAGTACCTGGACGAAGGCTGCAGCTGCAACCCTCATTTAACCCTCAGCCGGAGCGCGTATAGTTTGATCGAGGCATGCGCCCTTCCAGCGTTGAAGCGCTGGTCTGTCCCACTTGTCGCTCCCGTCAGACGCCCAGGCTGGTGCGTTGTCATGCGCTCAAATGCTACTGGGCTCTGTGTCCTCTGCGGACACGTTTCAGCGCACAGTCCACGCATAAGTTCACGGGTGTCTGCCGTTTGTCCGGCCTGGACCTCTGGATGCCGGACAAGATCAAGTAAGACGCGAGCTTTTATGTTGTGCTGCGAAGCGGTTTGATGGTTTTGGTGGGACGTTTCTGCCTTCTCCCATGACTGCCGAGAAAGCAGTGCATCAGCCACCTGTTTTGCGAATCGATTGGACTGACTGTACGTCTGTGATATGAGTCCTGACTCTCGGAGAGATCTGCTCAGACCGACGAAGCGATGCTTTTCTGCTCCTTCGAGGAGGTCTGGTCATAAGCTGTGTATCGTGGGCGCATCAGTTTTGCTTCGTCCTGTGCTGGGGAAAGGCCTGTTCCTCAGACAGGGCTCAGTTTGCGGCACAAATTTGACCCGGATTGCAATGGTTGATCAAACGGGCGTGCGTAGTAGGATATTGTTGCAGTGAGTCATTGATAGCGATGTTTTTGTCACATGGTTTGCACAATTGTTATTGTAGATTATGTCATTGCCGAATTACATCCGTTCACCTGAGTTGGTTGACGTTTATAACAAACACCGATGATATTGGCGTGTCGCTAAACTAACCTCGTTGCACGGCGCGTTCCAAAACTTGCCACGAACAAGCCGTACATTTAGGAAACTACGTTAAGTCGAAATTGTCTGGCATTGTATGCATGCACAAGTTTTGTGTCCAAAATATCATCCGGGGACCCCGATTCATGATCACGCGCGATGTCGCCACTGCTGGAATGATGGGCATTGTTTCTGGGGACTCTTGGGCGTCCCGTGAATGAGCCTTTCCGAGCAAGTGTTTGCTTTAGCCACCGGCTGTTGTGACTGTGAACTGGATATTGGAAATGCGTGGTGGTGATTTCTATCCAATATTTGTAACTTGACATTGGCGTTTGTACCCCTAACTTGGAATACAAGTATGTGTCACGTGCTGGCATTTTGATTTCGTGTTTATCGCTATGGATCACAGATGGATCACAGAAGGCTGGCTGTAGTTGCGACGCACAATTTGACGCTCAATTCTCATGGCGCACAACAGTGCAAGCGGCTAAGAGTGCCGAGAAGAGGACCCCAAGGTCCCAACTAATCCAAGCTCAGTGTCTTGCTCGAAAGTCGAAGGTCCAAGTCCTCCTACACTTGATGAAAACTCTAGTCATAAATGAGTGATCTAGTTCCGAAATGAAAAGGTGTCAAGATAGCTCATGGAAGACAAAAAAGGCCGCATTGAATCCGGAAACGGAATTAAGACTGATAAGACGGTAGTATAAGCCTCATTCCTCGGATAAAAACCAGGAGAATGAAGATATAGTTGGGTTGATATGTCGGTAACATGCCTTTATCGAAACGACAGCAGAAGTGAATTACTAAAGAACTCCTTATTCCCCAGAATTCACTTCCGCTATTGTTTCGATAAAGGCATTTTGCCGAAATATCAACCAAACTATATTTCCATTCCCCTGATTTTTATCCGAGGGTAATACTGCTGTCTTATCTATATGAATAATGCTCCTCGTTAATGCACTGAACAACTCACGAAATCAAAACTATCTGGTTCCCAACCGCCGAGACTAAAAAACGCGAAACGTTCCTTTCCTTTCTTTCATCTTGGATAAAACACTAGTTCCGGTAAACGACGGGCTTCCAGCTCAAATTTAGGAAATCGTTTGCCCACCGTAATGTTACAATACATGCTTGCGTTAAAATTAGCAGCGGTTACGAAACACATATTACAGCAGACATGGCAGCTCTTTAGGAAACAAATGTGGGCGCTAGAGAACAGCACCTAGGCTTACTCTCGCCTTGGCTCACGCTATGCCACGTGTTTTTTTTCACGAAGTGCTCCGACTAGTTTTTCCTGTCCTTAGATTTGCTTATCTACATTTACAATATTCGCAGCACTGAAATCAGCTTGGCTTATAAGATAGTAAAACCAATATGAGGTTAAATAAGTGATATAATGTTCTCATTGTGTTGTGATCACTAGTATTTTAGGTGATGGTGGCAGCAAGTCCGCGGGTGCAGACTTCCAATACCGGAGTGCGTTCGGACGAACTCCTGTGCTTTCGCTCATCTACAAAGGCCACATAGCGTACGACCATGTTGGGGATAATGGATGAGCAAAGAAGAAGCCGCCACTTACACACGAGACGAACAGAACCATTCATCGTTCAGAAGCAGCCGAGGAGCAGTACTTGCGTTACACGTCGGGACTGAAAAAGCCGAGTCCCCAGTTATATCTAACGTGCATAAAGCAGAACAGGCATTACACCTGCAAGACGTCCTGGGCGTTGGGGGATGAGTGAGGGGATAACACGCTCGGCAAGTGTTACCACGTAATCCCAATATCACGAGCAGATAGGGGCAGAAGCCTTTGAACCTCACACAAATGGATTATTGCAACGCATTGGAATGGTGCCTGTTGCGGGTGCTATGAAAGACAAACAGGTACATTTATGAAACGTTTGCGCACCGATACACAAGTTGCACCGCCCGATTTGTGAGTTGATGGAAACAAAATTTGTTAACTATCAACCAGGCTAGGTATGCTTATTCTAACCGAAAAAATCCGTAATGCAAGAAAGATTTACGACACGATGACTGACCACAGTATCGTAGACGACGTAAATCAATTTTCGTGGACATTGGTCACCAGTGATCTGGTGTCTACTTCTTTGTAACTGGTCTGTTCCAGTTGCACCTAGATGAGGACACTGTATGCTATATTCTAGACCGGTTCCGAAAATGACTACCATGGCCTCTGTCCGGTGGACAACAGATACAATCATGAATCGGCCGGCGCCGAGGTCGCTAAGCGATCGATAAACGACGCATTCGTCGACAACGTGCAAACGAGATGTCACGTTGTTGTCGCTGTTTATCCAGACATGGCAACGGTACCCAAAGACGCGTTAAACGGGTGAATCCGTGCGTAACACCCGCGATTAACCGGCAGTAGACACCAGCTCACAGCCTTGCCGGTGCGATCGTCCGTTCCCGTTTGCGCCGAACCGTGGTGGTCTGCTGAAGCGGTGACACCCAGTCACCCAGATATGCATCCGGTTTCGACCCGTGTGGTGCAGCTGTCTGGCATTTAGGATATTGCACGCGTTTCGTGTTTTTCGACGTAGGGTTACGTTTTGCGTGCACTACAACGCTGCAGAAGAACTATGCCCTTTCAAACAGCCTGGACGGGACAATAAAGTTGAAATAAATGCTTTTCGTACAGTTGAAATCAGTGTTCTTCGTTGAAATAAACGTATGGTTAAGATAAATGTTATTCGTGTGGTTGCATACTGCACTATGCCGTGTCGGTGTACCAACAATATATTAGCTTCCAGAACTCGTTACGACCAGGCTATGTTCTTGCGAAACCATCACGTTTAATAAACTCACACGTGGTTGACGACCTCGCTAGTGACACCAGTAAGATGTTTTGTGCGGCGTGCTGGACGAGCGCGGCGTTGCCAGATGTCAGAGCTGTCGATTTTGCCGTAGCTTTGCCGAGAAGTAAGCTAATGAAGCTAAACATTTTCGGCAACAAATGTCGGTACAGTTTGTCTTTCATGAAAATTTCGTAGGTGGACATACAATGAGGTAGAGTTTGCGCGTTAACTCAAGAGGAACATTTCTTGGAGCATTGTCAGCTATAATCCGGTTAGGCTTTGGAATTTTGATGCAAACAATTAATTGGCGGTGAATAGAGGTTTTGGCGATTAAAACCAGGTTACAAAGCACGCAAATAATTAGAAGAATATGCGTCAAAGCAAACGGAACTAAGCGCCCATGTCGTTTGCACGGCTGAATCTGTCTCGTCGTAGACCCCAGTGCATGGCATTTGGGATAAGTCTATTTTAATGCTGTCATTGGCTGGCGTCCGGTCGATTGCCGGCGCACGTATGGGTTGGATAGTTTCGGCATTCATTGCTGGGTTGTAGTCTACTCGACTACATCGTTCAGTTGATGGCACGGCTCCATCTGCCCTGCTTATTCAAGTGCGACGTAAATATTTAACAAATAATGACTGAAATCATGGCTTGCAAATGAAACCGCGTGACCGTCTGCACACCTTGAACTACACATTTTCCAACACAGTTGTCTGTTTTTCCTCAGCCAGAATTTGTAAGTCGCGCGTCGGCGCGACGTCGGATAGTAGGGATCTAGACCCGGCCTCGATCAGAACTCTTCAGCATTTTGGCAATTTAAACATTCATGCTAATGAAAAAGAAGGGCGATGCTTTGGTGACAATTGCAGAAAAGGCCGTTCTCCTAAAACCGGCGGCACGCAAAAGCCTAACAATTTCTATACCACAGTTTGGAAATGATTGAGCTTTGTGTTGATGAAAACTGAATGAGACCGTGGCCAGTGGATGCAAAGCAATCAGCTTTAAGGCTATCAGGGCGGCCGGGATGCAGTAGCTCAAAACTTTATCACGAGCTGAATAAGACTCGCCGGACTGCGGCTTCGCTCATGCCCAAAGGCACTATTCAGTAGCACGGCCACGTTGCTGCAATAATTGCAATATTGTCATTGCAGTGGTTGGACTCTTTTTTGGAAAAATGTCTGCTTCGCTTACTTCGACCATGACTTCAGACGCACGCGTGAAAGAATCTCTTAGTCTCAGCTTCGGATGAAGTGTGGTCGGTAGCAAAGCTCCCACATAAGAAAAGGAAAAATTTGCTAAGGGCGGGCGTGCCAAGACCTTCCATGTCATGTGGAAGATGTCCCTGTGACATATATAGCCAAGAGCCTGGGCCACAATTGTCTCGCAGATTGAACTTCATGAGTGGTTCGGTCGATGTAAACGCAACAAGTAACGCTTAATTGAGAATGCCAGTCGCAACATTTGTGTGAGGTTTTGAAATGTAATAGCTATATTGAAGACCATTCGATGCAGTTCGCAGTCTTGTCCTTCTCAAGACCTAAGACCCTCTAGTTGTTAAACTGCGCGCCCGCGAAGATGTGCTGGCTATTTCGGGGGGACTATTTTAAGGTCACCCAGGCGTAAATTACGCCATAATAACGTCATTTAAATCCTGAAATTTCATTAGCCATGTAACATCAAGGTCAAGAAGAATATGATTGTCGAGTTGTTCATATCTGGCGGTCGTGAGTGCGATTTCCAGATATGACGGTCGTCAATTGCCTTTCTGTGCAAGGTACATGACGTCATCAAACAATAACGCATTGAGAAGCATATTTACTCAACAGACTCAACAGTATTGTCTAGGGCAGTCCTTTCCACTTAGAGAAACGGAAATGGTATTGTCTAGGGCAGTCCTTTCCACTTACAAGCATATCAATAAGAATAAGTGAGCTCATGTCATCATATCTGATGTCTGCTTCCATATTTTCAAATGCGAACCATTCCCTTTAGCTTACGTTGCAAGCACTTCGTACATGTCCGGCAGTTCTCCTCATTGTTTTGTATTCTATCATTTCGGCAGTCTTCAACATTCATATACTTTTACTGGCAGTGGCGATTGCATCGCTTGAAACAAAGAGCAGGCATACCGCGTATCATCTCTAGGCACGTGTCACGTCAGGCGTAACGCTCATAAATCCTACAAGTACAACCATTTGCAAACGCTGCGAGCAAGGTCGGAACATGTTTAACAACTGGTGCGAGCTTAGGAACAGACAAGGCAGTGCGAGAATAACTCTTTTACATCCCAATTCGTCTGCAAAAAGGAAATTTACTCTGGCCTGGGAAAGTAAAACTACAAACTTACAGCACTTCTATGACGTTTTAAAATCGCTTAGGCCCCTGATGGATGGCAGAGATTCGGGGAGATCGTATCACTAAGCCTACAAAATCCGAATTTCCAGTCGAGTACCACTTTGCACACGCTTTGGGCAAAACGAGGCAGATCTGCGAGGAGCTTGCTTTAAGCTGTTAAGAGTTCTTCATTCGGAATCTGTGATGAACACTTTGCGTGGCTTAGCTGCTTCGAGAGACGTGAGCGCTAACATCGCGCCCTGTTTCTGGTGAAACCCTTGAAGCTTTGGTGCAGATATAGATCGGTGGTGTTTGATGCAAAGCACGCAACTCAGTGATCGTTATCTAGCAGCGAAAGGCTTTGCATATACAGGTAGATGCGTTTATAAAGTGATGAATGACTGTATCAACATCTCATGAAAAGAGTAGTATCTTTGCCGCGTTGCGTACTCTGACACGATGTCTTTGGCAGCTCAGAACTTACAAGCTAACAGCTACAGGAATTTGAGCACAGTACATTCGGCCTGACTGGAGTCATTCGTACAAGAAGTCTTCCGCCGTTCCTGGTAGACACAAGTTGACAATCTGGAAAGGAGAGCGCATCAAAGTTACACCAGACAGCGATAGGCGCGTTACAAAACTATGTACATGGGCCATGCCACGTCACCACCAAAGAACGTTGCTCCCAAAAATTATAGAGCCGAGGCCTGAACAGCGTAGTCCAGAAGAGATGGTAGCGTCTGCAGAGGTAAGAGAAGAAACTAGTGCGGCGACGTGCAATTATGCAGCATTTGCAGCATTGTAGGTATGTTTTATGCTTGATGCGGATGCTTTAGACGGGCATTGTGTGTGGTTATAAACGGAGCAAGCGTGAGCAAACTTGTTGGGTTTTGTAAGCGGGGTAATTGCCACCAACGTAAAGCTCATGCTTGGCCAAAACAGCGCACCAGTTTTTAACAGTAACGTGCTTTTACAAATAAAAAAACAAGCATTTGGTGTTGCTTACCTGTGCATTTAACCGACTTGGGAGCGATGAAATGGTAGTATGTGGCCATATTCAACAATGGCATCGAAAGAGCAGTCTATATCTATTCTATATGTGTAAGAGTATAATTATCGATAGAGTTTAACGTTGACACTAAGCAAGCTTATGCCGGTGAAAACCACGGATCAGAGAGAAATGTCTTGACTGCTATTGCATCGAACCCCTAGCACAATTTCGCATGTCTGGGGCGCATGTATTTGTAGCAGTTTAATCACTCCACAGACCGATTTGAAACACACAGCATAAGAAACCTGAGCGTTCCAGTAGAGTACCTCAGCATAAACAAGCCTAACCAACACATCGCCATAGTTACAATGAAACAGCACAGGCAAACAAACTAGAGCATCTTCAGCCCCGAGACTGACGCCAGATGAAGTATGATTCGATGACATTGCTGTTCGAGAGAATCGCAGTTAGTTGGGCAGCGAATGCGTTAGGTTCGATAAACACGTGGCCTGCGGAGGAAGGGTCTGGGCACTACGCGACCAAAGCCATACACAGCTGAGGACTGACACTGCAGCGCCGCTGCGGAAGGGCAGACCCAGTCGCTCCCAGCCAGTGCTAGAGCCCCTGCCGACTGCCGAAGACACGGTCGACGATCCAGCACAAGTCTCGGTTCCGTCCGAGACTTCAGCATGCGTCAGCGCCGGGGTACGTTGCTCGCGGCGTCGCGGTTATTGAAGCCAGCGGGTCTCAGACAAGAGCGGCAGCGCGTGAGGGGAAGTGGAGATTATGGCGCATAGTGCCTGACGCGTCCGATGCGTCTCAAGGCCGCGGCGCAACGCTTCCGGGGGGGAAAGCCGATATTCAATAGATGGATGACACATTGGGTATCCAATACGATGCTTGTGGTGGCGACTAAAGAAACGGGACGCAGGATTTGGTGGAAGGGGTATCAGGTTGGGGTGAATGCTAGTATTTTCCAAGGTTTTTATCAATGTAAAATGTGCTGAAACTTCCGCAAATATACAGGATGAATTGTCAGTGGTGATATGACACAAATGTGATGAATAGTTGCCACGACATACAATTCAAATCCCTTCCTTCGGCGAAAGGGTTTGCATTTTTTAGTAGGATGAAAATATTCAAGCCAACACAAGTGTTTTACGAGTCGCTTGAATTTTGGTAATGGGATTCGCCGGCGTAAACGCGACGCTCTTGTTCACTCGAGTTAACTTGCCCGCAAATTTCAATACAGCAGATGGGTGGTTAACAGCCAGATGACAAATGATAACAAGAGACGAACAAACGGATGAATTATTAGCTGGAAAATGGAAAAACTCATGAATTCTGCGCTGCGACCATTCTACCATTTTTCTTCGCAAGCAACAACTTTGTAAGTGTTGCGCGGGAGGATGTTGGTTGAGGAAAGAAATGCGTTCCAATTTAGCACGCATTTTTCAGAGTTTAAGCAGCATGATAGAGAGTATCTTACATGTAACATTTATAAGCTCTACTAATATTATATGAGTGAGGAACTGCTGCTGCGTCCGCAGTAACGCAACAATTTGTTTCGGATAAAGCACTGAATCATATACAATTCGTAAGCAACCCACAACAAGCCTAATCAGACCTAATACGGTCTTTTCCCACTGGAAACTGTCCACCAAATAAAAACAAAACAGAACGGGGACGCCGGGCATCAACCGCACTACCACCACACTCGTTCGGGCCTCGGCGTTACTCTACGGCCGCTCGGCTGTCGGCGCATGCGCGCTGGCCACCCAGGTGTCGGGGCGGCGGCGACGGCGGCGCGTCATCCGCTCCCACCTGGTTGTGCTGGCGCTGGCGCTGGCCCGGGGCCACGGCGTCGCCGTATCGCACCACCACCGGGTCCACCGCCACCTCCACCTCCTCCACATGGATGATGGGCAGCCGTGGGGGCCGGCGCGGCGGCGCGGCCGGCTGCCCCGTCTCGTCCGCCGCCGCCGGCAGGCTGGGCCGCCGGCCCGGCACCACCGCGTGACCCAGCACCCGCTGGTACTTCGCGCGCCGCCACCCTAGCGGCCCGCCGGCTGGCGGCAGCTCGGGCTCGCTGCTGACGCGCTTCAGCTGTCCGCTACTAGGGGCGCTGACGTCGCTGGCGAGCAGGTGAGCCTCCACCAGGCGCGCGCACGCGTGCCGCCCGCAGAAGTAGGCCCACTCGATGCAGGTGAGGCCGCGGCCTGGGTCCTGGATCAGTGGGTCGGCGCCTGCGGCACGCACGCGCTTGGCTGAAGCGTGGATAGTGGAGCTCACCGCCGCGACACCGAGTTACTTCACAGGCGTGGTTTGGAATTCGGATTTACAATCAGCGAAAGATTATCGCCGCATGTAAGCCGGTATGAGGCAATTGACAGTCACTTATTTCACAACATCGTTTTCCCTGTCAAGTCGAATCTTATCCATCTGAATCATGACTATGAATCTGAGTCTGAATCACTAATCCCACATTCATCAATGTTGACAATGCAATATAACGCTGAAATTAAAATTAAAGTGCATCCCTTTTCAGGAACAAGAGCATGCGCTGCGGATTCATGATTAGATCATTAGAGGCATGACCTTGGCAGGCCGTGGTGTACTGGCGCTCGCACCGTCGCCCACTAGAGCCATGACCTTGGCAGGCCGGGGTGTACTGGCGCTCGCACCGTCCGCTCGCTACACATCCGTGGTTAGAATATCAGCCGACCTCTTGCCGGACATTCCGGGGCAAGTTTTATCGGCTAGGTCATTGAATTTGGAATGTTCTACTTTTTGGGTGATTGAGGCCAAGACGTAGGGAAAACATTAATGCTGTGAATGTTTATCGGTAACAATGAATGAGCTATGTGCATGTATAGATTTAAAGACATACTCTGCGTGCATCTTGACCACAACCTGCCACATTTAAGACCATCTTCGGAGAAGGTGACGCTGGTGGCTTCGCGGTCTGTTGCTGGCGCATTGATGGGTCAGACAGTGTGGAGAGTGTTCAGTGAAGTATAGACGGCACGTCCACCTGCATTACACAGCTGGCTCCGCATATTTGTCCGCCCGGGCTGAATATGTTTTTTTTTAAATTCTAATATATATATATATATATATATATATATATATATATATATATATATATATATATGATTTAAATATATGAACTAGTATAATAATATGTAATATATAATAATACAATATGTAATAATAAATACGTAATATATATGATATATAATTTTACTATTTATTAATTTATAATAATATAATAATTAAAATAAGAAATTTAACAGCAGCTAAAAGAAACGTCCCAGAACGGAAGGGTATATTACTTGAGCAGGGGTTACCCACGTTTTTTTGCAGTATGACTGCTCGTTTTTCCCTCCGGTTTCCCCTTTTTCCTTCAGCTTTTTGTGATTGGAAAATCTTCAGTCATCCATGCTAAACGATAGGTAGGTGAAAAAATGGGGTAATACAGCGTTGCAGAAATATGCCACCGCCGAACAGTCAGTATGTAAATGCTTTGGACATATCACGTAACAGCTTCTAGAGAATTATGGTACGTGCTGCTCAGGCTGTTGTGGCGATGCGGCCAGTGCTGGCAGAGATGCAATCCTGACAAAAGCGTGACTATCCGTGCCAAGCCGGGCCGCCGAGGTCAACAATTTCCGGTTAGAGGACAGACGGCTCGGTCAGTAGCCTCGTTCGTAAAAAACGAGGCTACATAACGATCAATAAGTGTTTACATAATAATGAAACTACGGTGAGAACAATATGAATAAAACAAAAAGTCCATGTAATAAAATGATTACACCCAAGGCCATTGTGTGCTGGCCAGGTGGTATTTCGATTTGGTAAAAGGGTGTTCATCAGAATCACGCACTAACTTTCAATGTTTGTTGTAACAATGGTTTAAACATCACTGAATACGCTCATGGTTTACCTGATTTAGAGACTGATAGTCAATGGATGTTAATGTATAACAAAGACCAACGCCTATTGCCCATATCAGGACCATTCTATGATATATTTTTACAGCATCCTGAACCTCAGTCGGAGAGCTTCAACGGCAGAATCATTCTCCGTTGGTTACATCGCATACCAGCGTTTTCTATTGCGGCCAATGAACCACGCGAGCGCCGAACAACCAGGGTGCGGTGGTCTCTACATTCATAAGATCTCGCCTCCGTTCCTTACCATGTGCGAGAAGTAGTTTAGGCGCATTTGCTTTTTCCTTGAACACAGGCCTTGATGAGAGGAGTAATTCCCTGGCCGTTCTTAGCATCCACTTCGATCTCCACATAGTTCTCCAGCAGCGCTGTGACGACTGCAGCGTGTCCTGAAGACACAACCCGATGGTTAAGACGGCCACCGTTTCAAACGACGTTATGAGCTGTGCGCAAGCGGCAGAGCGGTGACTGTGAAAGTTAGTACACGTCGCTTGGAGATCGTTATGAGATCTCCTTGAGCAATGTGTTTGGTTCTTCGGATGACACGCACATACTTGATAGCCGGTCACCACTAACCACTCATTGTTTGACTCGCCCACGAGAGGAGAAAGGTTTTGACGCAGACTAAACGGGGTCCAATGTCACCTTCGACGCTGGATTGGCTCAGTGTCATGTGCCGGTTACCTGCTTTAGTTTCGGGGCGGATCGCAGATTTCATGGGGGTAGCATGATGTTTGTCATCCCACGGGGGCGCCGCAGCGTGGCAGGGTCACTCACCAGCCTGAGCAGCGTAGTGCAAGGGAGTGTTGCCGTCCCTGTCCGCCAGGTTCGCATCCACGTAAGGCAGCCGGGAGAACTCCTCCACACACCGGCCGTTGCCATGGATACACAGGTGACTCAGCGGTGTCTGGGGAACAGAGGGAACTAAATGGCACGCTAAGATAATCATCCACAATCACTGCGTGCTGCATGTCTTGCATTGCGTATCATAGAAAAGATGTTATGACGAACAGCAGGGCGCATCCTTAAAGCCAAGATGCGTATGGAGCACAGCAACACAAGATCTTCAAAATATGTGACAACTCCCCCCCCCCCCGCATCAGCGTGCGGCAGGCATGATCCCTGCGAGGTCATGTACCATAGTAATTAGGACATCAATTTAGAAGTGTTTAGCTATCTGTAATAGTAATGCATTGTACTGCTTGTTGCATATCTCTGCGCAATTTACGGGATATTCCGGGACATAAGCTATCAGAACCACGTGTTATACATTAAACTTCAGCAATACACCTAAGACGTCGGGCAGATATTTTCCAGCAGATGTTTCCTGCCCCAGCCAATATAAGCAGCACCATCGTCAGAATCAGACGGACCACCATGAAAATATATGGCGTGAACAAAAGGACCAAGATCCTGGAAACAGAGGCCATTTGACGTTATTATTAGCCGGCGGGGTAACAAGAGCCGCTGTCAGTCTGCCCGGGAAAACATTCCACCTTCTCACCAACCGGACACGACACAGGGATCAGTCCGTCTCGGGCGCCAGGCTGCTCTGCTGGATGCAAACAGCGCCGGCCTGCTCACTGCTCTCTGTGTGCGCTTTTCCTCTCTGTGGCTTCGGTAGTGATTATGTGTACCATTTCTGTGTGATTTGTTTGGGTGCGCTGGAGGCGCGTCGTCCGTCCACTTGTTAGTCTTCAGCTGTGCCAGCTGCATGATCCGTCTGTCTCCCCGCTTGGTTACACGGGTCGTATGACCTGTTATTTGTCGTATGACCTGTTGTTTCGGCCGTGGTGGCTGCCCTCACTCACCCTTTTCCCTGTGCCTGGTTCCCCTGATTGCGCTGACTGGCCCATGTTTACAGGCCAATTGTGTTAGCTAAGCTGATCTCCTCCACAGCCTCTGGTTGAGATAGCTGAACTAACCATCCCCCTACCCCCTGACTGGCCTTGTCGCTTTATTGATCCGACCTCTGTCACAGTCATTGAACTTGTTGGGCACTGCTTAATCATACGCAGTCGACACACCCGAAAATTACAAATCAGTATGATCTGGTTGTGCGGGTTGCACTGACCCGTCCGCTGCCGTCCGTCTGGTTGATGGTTGCGCTGGACGCGATCCGCCCGGCCACGATCATCACCTCGCGGAACCTAGGTCGTTCAGACGGATGCAGGCCTGCATGAACTGCTCGTGCACGCTGCTGGCCGTCATCTGGTCCCTGAAACGGCGCACACGTGTTCACTACTCGCCGTCATCTGGTCCCTGAAACGGCGCACACGTGTTCACTACTCGCCGTCATCTGGTCCCTGAAACGGCGCACACGTGTTCACTACTCGCCGTCATCTGGTCCCTGAAACGGCGCACACGTGTTCACTACTCGCCGTCATCTGGTCCCTGAAACAGCTCACAAGTGCTCACCACTTGCCGTCATTTGGTCCCTGAGACTGCGCACAAATGCATACTGCTGGCCGTCACTGATCCCTGAAATGGCGCATAAGTGCTCGCTACACGCCAAAGACTGAAGCCAGCTCCCGTGGATCGTGTGTATGTTAGTCTGGTCTGCTGCATGATAGGAACGCTTTACATGAAACGAATTGCCCAGTGCCGACGAATATTTGTCCGACCTCTCGAACACGTCCTGTACACCATGCACAACTCGAGCACTCGCTCACTCACACTCGCACCTGGAACGCATCTGGTTCTCATGCCAGCTGGTCACTCTCACTCCGCCGACTTCTGTCTGCGTCGACCACTAGATCACCGCCCCATCAGCCGTCGAACCACCCGATCACGTTCGCTCTCTCTCCACTGTAGACGCTCCTTATTGGAATATTTACACCGCTTGCTACCTAGAGATGGCTTGTTCTTTTCGTCGAGGAGCAGCGACAAAATAATCATCGGGTGATCAAGCCTCATGCCACTCAAGTATCTTCCATCGCGTCTTTCCAAGCAGACGACGTGTTGTGTCACAGCGGCCCATACCAACACACGACTCCCACATCCGCCAACGGGACTGCCCGGCGCGTGCAACAAAAAGCGTCTCGCTCTCGCCTCCCGCCATTTCCGTCCAGTTCAGTCAGCACTTGGCAGTGGTGTGGGAGACCCATCGATCGTTAGGTCACGCGCACGTCAGACAGAGACACACGAGCGCAGCCGATCACACCGGCTGGTCCCACGGACGCTGACAGCTCGCACGTCATCAGCCTCTCCTCCAATCAGCGGCCGCCGTCAACATCCGGCAGCGAAGGACCGTCTGTCTCACAGCGAAGCTTAACCCGGGAGAAAATCATGAGGAGCCAGGGGGGGTTTCCCTGGCGAGGAGCCTGTGATCAGGATGGTGAGGCCTCCTGTCCGGGTGTCCGATACAGCTGGAGGGTTCCGGGCTATTTCTAAACAAGGCTGGTGTGTGCTTAAGGTCAAGGTCATGCTCCAGGGAGTTAGACTGGGTTCATGCCAATTGCCTATGACTGTTACTGAGTTGTGGCCAGAATCAATATTGAGGAGTCGGTTGCGTTTGAGCCTGGGAGGTGAGCATCGGTATAGAAAGTTACCGATAACCACCACAAAAGTGCATGAATAACTGCTTTTGGCCACATTGCTTCGCGTTTGACTGTTGCCGCGACAGTATCATGCCGAGGCAGTTATATTTCGTACGGTGACATTGCATACAACAATTGTGGCATGGTATCAAAAGTGATATTTGAAAAATGAAATTCACTGTGCAAGTGAATTAACTACGGGAAGATGAAATGTAATGCGTACAGCAAGTCCATTCAAGCGCAAGTCTTTGCGGTAATGGTGAACCACACCACACCATAAACGGAAAACTGTTCAAAGAAATAGCACCACACAACAAAAACGGACAAGAGAATTTTTGTTATTTGCGACATTGTGCGTGCCATTCGCTGATTGAGACTATGCATGCCATTCGAGCTTGATCTGCGAATCACGACGGGGGCTTTGAGTCTGATATCTGTGGTTGATCAGGACCGTGAGACTGTTGTAAGTCCGAACAGAAAGTTATAGTTGAGTTCAAAACTTTAGTGTACCTTCGAGGCTTTTCGGTGCATGTTGCACTGGTCAAGGGAGTTCGCAATTTTTTTACGATAAGGAACGCAGTTGTTGCGTTGGTAGTAGTATGGTAATGGTGTAGGCTGCAAATGACTCAGGGCCTTATTCGAAACTGCTTTATTGCACGCGCAATAGATTACTCCAAATGCCGTCTATAAATCACGTTACGCATTAAGCAGAAGGAGCATGTAAGCGAGCGTAAAAAGTGTAGCAATGGGGAGGAGCGCATTATTTTAAATCTCCCCCCCCCCCCCCACATGGCAAGTGGTTTCAGTAAGTTACCAGGTAGCAGTAAAAGAAGTATGGTAGCTTATTCACAGGCTATCATGCATTTGGTAGTGTAAAGTTTTAACTTCGAGACGCTGCCCTCATCATAGAGTCATGATCATCATTTTGTTTTTGCTTGATTTGCTCTGATTGTGCGCAACGCAGCGATGCACCACCAAACGCACCCATACGGACGTGGTCCGCCAAACGCATCCATCAGGCGTGGTGAGCCGAACGCACCCATCCAAGCGTGGTCCACCGAACGCACCCATCCAAGCGTGGTCCACCGAACGCACACATTCAGACGTGGTCCACCGAACGCACTCATGCAGACGTGGTGCACCGAACGCATCCATCCAAAAAGGATCCACCGGACGCACCCATCTAAGCGTGGCCCGCCGAACGCACCCATCAGCCGGGCGATCGCTCTCTCGAACGCTTCGTACCGAAGTCACTCACCTGGGCTTGGTCTGTATCTGCTGGGCGACGACCATGCGTCGGCGGAGCGGCGCCATGGAGGGCGGCGCGCCGCGCGGTGACGCCGAACGCTCCCCGAGCCGCACCAGCCGGTCTCCGACCTCAGGCGAGGAGGCGGTGCGCCGGATGCGCCGCTGCCGCCGCGCCACCATCGCCGCCGTCTCGACGTCGGCGCCGTCGGCGGGTGGCGGCCGGTGCCGGTGGCGGGGCGGTGCAGGGCGTGCCAGCGGTGCGGCCTCCGGGGCCGCGTCTCCGGTGTTCTGAGCCGACGGAGCAGGCGAGGGCAAGGAGCTGGAAGACTCCGAAGCGGGGGTATCCTCCGGCGACGGTGGGAGTTCTGGGTCTGGTCGGGTCTTCGGCCAGAGAGGACCTGAGCACTCGATCACGGGCGGGTGAGATATCTCCGGTGGGTGTGAGGCTTCCGACAGGGACGGTAGAGTGATAGGCGGGGTCTGCGGTGCCACCACCAACCTTCGAGCCGTCTCTTCTGAGGATGGTTGTATTGTGCAATCTGGTGCAAGATCCTCGTGGGCTGAAGCAGTGGGATCTGTTGCATGCGGATGTTCTTCTGGCGTCTTCACGGTCGCTGTATGAGAGGTTACGGCTGGAACATTTGGTTGAGTAGAAGGAGTTGATGAGCTTGAGTCCGAGGAGAGTGACTCAGACTCGGAAGAAACGGGCTCTGAAATTGAACTTAATGATTCAGATTCGGGTACGGAAGCCTCAGACCTGGAACAAACATGGGGAGACTTGGAGGTATGGCAGGAAGATGGAAAGGAGGGGGTTTCAGACTCTGTAGTTATGAGGTTTGACACAGTAATGGAAGAGTCTGAGTCAGGTGCTACGAGTTCTGGTTCCGGAATCGTGGATCCGGGCGGAAAAGAGCTCGGCTCAAGGCTGATGATCTCCTGCGCGGAAGGGATTGTCCAGGGCGCAGGCTCGGCCACTTCTGGCGCATCACGAACGGGCTTACAGCCAGGAGATGCGACTTCGGGTCTGAGGGGGGCGTCCTCAGTCGGAGACAGCTCCGATTCCTCCTTGGATTCTACCGATCCCGATGAACTAGATTCGGACTCGTTAGGTTCCGCATCGTGAGACTCTGACCAACTGGCGCAAGACGAGTCAGAGCTTCGGCGCTTGCTCTCGCTGGACTCAGTCGACTCCCAGCTGCTTGACTCAGACGACTCAGTCGTCTCATTCTCCCCAGACTCCATAGAGGTGGATGGCATAGACGCTGGTTTGATCATTCCCCGGGCGGGGGGTTTCTGAACCTGGCAAGGTTCGCAGGAAGGCACCGGCTGTGGCATTTGAGTTTCTTCTCCGTGTGATGCGGGTTGCGTAGAGGCTGACCCAGCGGCGGTTTTCTGAGCAATGTTGGCCTCGTTTGATCTAGCGGGCGGCTCTACCATCTTCCGCTGTACCGGGAAAGACTCGGAGGAGTCGCTAGACTCAGAGACAGAGTCGGAGCTGCTCTGCTCATCATCTTGGGGTTTTGTCGGTCTTAAAGAGGGAGAGGTCGACTTCATCGGCTCGACAGGAACTGCTTCGACAGGCTTAGAGAAAGACGAGCTGGACTCCAAACCTGCCACAGGGCTGAGTCTTACAGAACCAAGTTCAGCTTGCGACCAAGTCTGCGTCTTCTTTTGAGGCTCTGGGAATGCGGTGATAGTCTTTGGTATAGCTATCTCGTCACACAGCTCCCCCACGGCCGACGACATCGAGTCTGACCCGGACTCTGTTTCGTCGCTGTCTTCGGATCCTGTATTTTCAGAAGAAGTTGACTCAGGCGCCATCCTCTTGACGCGGTCCGACTGCACACGGCTGGCGGCAGCGACCTCCGACTCGGCCTGCTGGACATCCCGTTGTCCTTCTGACTCGGAAGATGTGGCCTCGGACGCAGACGAGCTGGTATCCTCCGAGTCAGCTGACCCAGATGACGAGGACGCGGTGTCGGAGGACTCCGTGGCTGATGACTGCGCTGGATCAGGTGAACATGACCTGGTCAATGCAGGTTTTGTACCGCTATTTTCAGGTGCTGGAGCCTGGCGTTTGGCTTCAGATAGTTTCACGTCTTTTGGTTTGGCATCTACTGAAGTGGTTATTTGTGTTTCTTTTGCATAATTTTCTGACGAGTCCACATGCTCCATAAGCAACAACTTGGGAGATCCTGGCGTAACAGATCCATCGCCTCTTGATGATTCTGTGTGAGGTGCCGTAGAAATCGGCGAGCGCTGCGTCTCTGAGGACGCCGCGCCGCTCATTAGTAGTGCGCCATTTTGCGCCGGAACGCCTGCCCCGTTGTTTGAGCTTGCGAGCTTCGATGGGGCCTGTTTCTGATTATCAGAGGGGCGTGAAGACTGCTTATACTTATCCTCCGGAGGCAAGGGCTTTGGTTCAAGAGGTAAATCGTCTTTCCGAATCGACGTCCCTGTATTACTGATAAGGCTGCCACATTCTGTGTTTGTTTGTGTACCGATCTTAATTGCCGGCTTCGGGCAAGGGATGCCTTTCAACCCATGTGGCGTTATCAACTTTGGCGAGACTTGTTTATCTTGCGGTTTTTGCTGAGCCGTATCACTTGTGCTGTTAGAATGCGGAGGATCATCAGGCTGCTTGGAAGTTTTTGCGTGAGAGTTTGTGGAACTCAAAGTCTCCTTTGTACTGGGCTGGGCCTCAGCAATCGTCTTTGTTTTGGAAACGTTTCCATTTTGTGGCTGGAGGGCACGACCTTCTAGTTTGGGTGGTGACGAGGGACCATCGTTGGTCTTTTGAGGCGCCTGAGCACTCGGCTTCGATGATGTGGACGTGATCTTTATTTCCTGAGGGCCACGTTGGCAGTGGGATCCTGTTGGCTGTTGAACAGACCCAGAAGGTTGAGGAGCTTGGCTTTTAGTGACACAAGCCTTGATATTCTCCTCTCGCTGTGGAGAAGAGCCACCGCCGGGCTTTGCGACAACACTGTTGTCTTTCGCTCGATGTGTCACTTCACTCGGCCGGTGACCCATGTTTGTCTGAGTGATCCGTACGGCAGGCGTGGGGCTTGTACCGCCTTGTAACTGCCGTGGTCCTTGCTGTGCACCTGTCTTCTGCACAATACGGGTACCTTTTGGTTCTTGCGAGCCTTTCGCCTTGGCAGTAGGCACATCTGCTTTATTTGCGCGCTGTTGGGTAGTTGGGGAAGCACGATGGCCACGTTGCTCCTCTGGTGAGCTTGCCCCGGGCTTGATGACGTGGCTTGAGGTTCCAGCTGCGCCCCTGACGGTCGCCGGGTCACCATCCCCTGCACGACCGGCCGGAGTCCGGGACCCTGCTCGGCCGGCCTGAGCCACGGAGTCCACTCGCTCAACGGTGCTTCGGACTGTGGACTCTGGCGATTCCGCTGGCTCAGCGCCCGCCGGCGCCCCCCTTCGTTCACCGGCGCGCAGGGAGTCCCGCCTGCTGACGACAGAGGAGTCCGCTTCCCTAGCATCAGACGGCGGCTCCCTCCGCTCGCAGACGCGCAAGGAGTCCCGCCTGCTGACGACCGAGGAGTCCGCTCCCCCTGCATCCACCGGCGCCTCCCTCCGCTCGCAGACGCGCAAGGAGTCCCGCCTGCTGACGACCGAGGAGTCCGCTCCCCCTGCATCCACCGGCGCCTCCCTCCGCTCGCAGACGCGCAAGGAGTCCCGCCTGCTGACGACCGAGGAGTCCGCTCCCCCTGCGTCCACCGGCGCCTCCTTCCGCTCGCAGACGCGCAGGGAGTCCCGCCTGCCGACCGGCGTCGGCGAGTCCGCCCGGCCGGACGGTGACTCGGCGTCGGCGCGCCCGGAGCGCCAGCGCAGGTCGCCGACTGACGCGACGGTGGTGGAGCGGCTGAGGCTGGTGCCGGCCGCCCAGCTGTGCCGGTTCTGGCGGTAGCGCGCCGCGTCCAGACGCGCGTTGGCCGGCCGCCGGACCACGTCGAAGTTCGCGTGGCCGGCCGGCACGTCACTCCGGGAGTACAGCTGGTACCTGGGGGCGAGACGGCGCCGCGAGAGTCAGCGCAAGGCGGTGGGAGTAGCGACAGCTGGGAGACGGTCAGTGCCGGTATGCTTTGCCTGTATCGGCGGTCAGGCTACAGAGAGTAGGCCTTTGCGATGGATGAGAAGCAACAATTTCGGCAAGGGCCCTTCCCGTGCATTGGCCCGTAAGCATTCTAGGAATTATATGACCTATGAGAACTCGCTGCATGTCAGAGCAATGACTTAGAGTATCAATGCATGACTGCAGTCTAGACAACGTGATTACTGTATGAAAGCGAACATGTAAGGAAGTTCCACATCTGACGCTTTTGATCATATGGTAAATTGGTAAATGGGTCACTTTGCTGGACATGGATGAATGAGAAGCTGCACTCCCCAACCAAAGTGTCACTTAAGTCTTGGGTGTATTCGCATCGCACCAAGAATGTTTCATTCTACGTGAAACCACGTAGATTTTTTTTCCGGACGTGTCCGTAACTGGACATACATTCCGTTTATATCTGCGTAACTGTCGTGACAAGAACTGCGCATCCAAGGACACAAGATTTTGTTTTGTTTGCGGGTACTACGTGTGCTCCTAACAATGGAAACTGCAAATTATGCTGCTTGTTGGGTATCAAAACACTTCTTCATCAACCGATTATGGTTACCCAAAGTGACCTGTTTATAACTGAGCACGTTGCGCCATTTCTGTCTCACTTTGATCAGGTTACAGAAAAGGATCATGCTAGCCAGCAATGATTTTAGGTGACTGCAATGACTTAAAGATCCAACTTCTTTGTCGTCCGAGTCGCTTCAGACACCAAAACCGCAGGATCTATGGGGTATAATGTCGTGAATGACGTCGATGGCATAGATTCTTTGTCATCAGAGTCGCTGCGAATACACACCTAACACAAGGAGGTGTTAGGTATATTGCATTTGTACCCACGGAGATCGATAATATACGATACGACAGCGGTTCACCAACCACGCAGCATCATCGTTTACGGAGGATGCGTTCCATTTGCGCAGTTAAAAATGACTGGGCGTAGAACAGTGTTCCCAAAGCTGTAATGCAAGTGCCCGAACATTCAGGACCAGTTGCAATTCCATATCATACGCGTGGCAGAACACGCCACAACGGATGTAGTGCGGGGCGGTATACCGTTCCGGCAGGTGTGTTGGGGCGCAGCGTACATTTTCCCTGAAGCATTGCGGGACAGCATACCAATCGAGGCTTTCGCAGACGGAAATGAGTGATTGGAAGTTCCCATGCCCAGTGGACGCCAGCAATAATCTTCTCGCGTTTGAACCGGAGAGATGGCCAGATAAGCATCCGCTTAAGTCAAACATATCCTGAGTACGGATTCTTCGCCCAGTCGTGGGCTCTCAGTACGGAAGGCCTGGAAGGCCTTCCTTTTGATCCACAATTCCGAGCGTGTTCCACGACGCGCACATCGGCTGAAGGCCAGACCCCCAGCTGACCGGCTGACCCTGTTTCTCAGCACCGACAACACTGATCAGCTGTTCTATGGTGCTTTCAAGATGCAGTGTGAACTGCGCGCCACTGGGAAGCGCTGTAGGACGGCGCTGCGAGCTCCAACGCCAAACGTCACTTCGCACTTGCCGAGATCATCACCTCCGCGCGCGCCGATACGGCCCGAGCCGGCGCACCTGTCGCGGGGGCGCCGCAGGTACGGGGAAGCCCTCCATCACACGCCTGAAATAGCGAGTTGGCCCCCGGCCGGGCGGCGGCTGGGGACGGGCCGGCAGCCGGCCGGCTGGGGACAGGCGGCCGCCCGCTCGCTGCCAAGGCGGCCGGCGAGACCCACTGAGCCGGCCGCAAAACACCGCACGTCAGCGGGCGGCGGGGAGCCGTCACACGGCGCCGGCCGACGTCGTCACACCGCTCTCAGGGCGCCAGATGGTGGTCAAACTGTCACGAAAGGTCAGTAGCTAAACGATGACTCTATTTTGGTTTATATTGCTCCGTTGCTGTTTTCGTTGCGATAGTTGAATGTGTCTCACACCGCTTTAAATAACCTTACGTAACTCATTAACCCGCTCGTGTGGTAAGATTGCTGTTTGCAAGCAAAATATGTCGGGCGGCCTGTCTCCATAGACGTAAGATGGATCGTCCCATGCAGACGGGTATAGAGCGATAAAATGCGGAAAAGTAGAGCTGGGCAGAGTAGCGCTTGCTTCTAACAGCAGTTTTGGCAGGATTTCTACGGCCATGCAGGTTTTCCACGAAATAAACCACGGATCTGCCGCGTGGTAAACGAAAATAGATTCATGCGTGCACGAACACTCTCCTTGCACGAACACTTTCCAGTGCGTTACCGTTCGCAAAAGCTAAAACATAGCTGAATTAGCGCACGATCCATATTCCAAGAGCGAAAGCGAAACAAAATGTAATGACATCCGCTAAACTATTTCCTGATGTTGACGTTCATCATTGTCTTTGGCAGATGCACAAGTTTTCAGAGAAAGCCCTCAGCACAAATGTGCCGACAGAATCTGCAGCGTGGAGGCCGACCCCGCCGGCGGGTCACCGGCGCCCTGTGGCCCAGTGAAGGGGTGGTGACGCGAGCACGAGTCTGCACGCCTCCGGTCGAGCTTCGGAGCCGTGCCGGAATCGGCGTCGCCGAGTGGAAGGAGACGACTGCTGGGGCCCGGCGGAGGTTTGGCGGACGGTTATGCTACCAGGTGAATCAAGAGAAAAATGCTGTCGGCATCACGTGGCTGCGTCTTAATGCGCATTTCGAACGATCGTATCTTAAGTGAGAACTTACTTTTAAAGTTCACTCTGTGTTCATTTCGTTACCCACTTCACACTCAAGTCAAGACGAGCTTGTTTAAAAGCGTCGCGCGCTCGTCACCATTCCACCGCGCCGCCATTGTGCCAGGATTCAGTTGCAGACATGCTAGCTCGTCGCATCACACGCTTGTCTAAGCTTACGGGAACAGTCCAACTGCATCGTAGAACCGTACATCTCCACAACATTCCACGTATTGGCCTGTTCGAACGCACTTTCAGACGACCTCGGGAGTCTGTATTCAGATGAGACCCAGTGCTGCCGGTCACCCGCTCGAGCAGCCTGGCCGACCGTACCTGCGCGGCACCCCGGTGCTGCTGACCAGTCGAGTGGCGCCGCCGGTGTAGTGGGTCGGTGCCGTTGACAGGTCGTACGCCCTGCCCAGCGGCGATAGCGGGCCGTAGCCGCCTGATGACGTCACCACGCCGTACTTGGCGCCCCCGGCCGGGGCGGCGCCGGCCGCCGGCCGCCGGTACGAGCTCATGCCGGGCGAGCGTGCTGCCGCCCGGCGGCCGTGACCTGAAACGGAGACGTGCAGGTGACCCCGCTGCGTCCGGCAGGGTCATGTGCCGCGTCACGGCTGGCGTGGAGGACTGGGGTAGTGATTTAGCTGCCGATTACGACAGGCATGTTTGCTTGCGGGGTCTGTGGGCGTCACCTGGTCGATGATTCGGTCACAAGCATAGTACGTTGCTAAAAACGGATGAGCAGTCATCGCCAGACAAAGCAAAGGAAATCAATACAAATAAGAATACCGTCGCTCGACTCAACACAATGCATCCGTCGTTGCTGTCTTTGCAGTTACGATATTATCCATTCATATCAGACGAGGCAGGACAGTTTGCACTGAATGGGCGGCGGCAGGGGAGCATGGCTTCATGCCGTAACGTGGTGTGGGCTATAAATAACAGGCTTGGTCGGTGCTGCCTCTGTTCTGTAACATGCCAAGTTACATCGCGCTTGACAAAAGAGCCTTGCCAACACAAGCCCCAGGACATTAATCGCGGAAACAATTCGAGCTACCTTTCTCCGTAACCATGCATTCTGAGCCATGATTCATCGCGGCGTGCGTGTTATGTCTAACAAACATTTTCTGACGAATAGTCCGAGACATACGTCTGTCAAGCTTGGGCTCGAAGGATTTTAATCAAGCGGTGCTTATGGAACCAATGTAGAAGATGGAAGGGGCTGGTTGAAGCCCCAGATCATTTTCCACACGGCAGACACCGAAGCGGACACGCCAGCTCGTGGCAGGTGACCACACAGAGTGATAGAGTGGTTCCGGTCCGCCACAGGGTCGGGTCACAGAGCACGACCGCCGCCTCAGACCGCGCGTGCCACAGACTCCACCCGTCTCACCGCCGAATAGACGGCTCCTTTGTGCGCTTGACATACCGCCGGGTAACGTCTGGCCAGCTAAGCAACGTGCCCGCCAAGCGCCCGTGCCAAAGGAGATGAAAATGCCGCTAGACTGGCCCCACGTTGGGGCTCAGCAGCTCTGGTGGGTTGTCGCAGCGTCCGTCACGCGTGTTTTTCTTTCCAACCTCACGTTGTGGCGTGTCGCGCGTATCCTCTGCCGGGACGGCATTACAAGATAGGACGGGCCGCACGCATGACCACCTCCACGATGGTTCTTTTTCGAGGACGCTCGAGAGCACAGCGTGGGGGCGGGGTGGAGGGGTGGGGGCTAGGGTGGGGGTGGGGGCTGGGGTGGAGGGGTGGGATGTGGGTGGCGGTCAGCCCCTTGTGCTCCGGCCAACCGTGTCAGGGTCGACAAGACCGCGGTGATTGGGGTCACAATCCAATCGGATTCTGCCGCCGTAGTGTTACATTAATCACTGGCAGTCCGTCAAGCCAAGAAGTCCGCGGATGCCAATAACGCTCTGAGATTCCCAACATCCTCAGCAGCTAAACGGAGCACACAGTAATGATTATATCTCTGACAAGGATAGATGAGCACTCATCAGGTTAAAGTGACGTGTCACCGGTTGGATTTTAATAAGTTTTCACTGTGGATGATTTTAAACGTCAGCCTGCCATTAAATGTAGCGAAAATTTTCCAGCAATGCACTTATCACAATTGCATTCAAGAATCCGTGTTACAATATCCACTCCTCTGACGTCATGGCGTACTTATGCAAAGCTAGGCTTTTGAGCAAAATCATGGATGTTGTGTTGTGCGGGGCAAATGTTTCCAATGACCAGTGACATGTATCGCTTTCATCGAAACTCCACACTCTCGACGTAACATATGGTGAAAGGCGGTGTCGAAATAAAACACAGCCCGTTCAAACCGAGGCGTAAAATATATTGGAAAGCGGCGGTGAGCAAGCCATGGCCACTCGTGTCATAAGTTCGAATCATTCGCGATGCGTGATGCATCAAGATCAGTTCCAAATAATATAAGTTATAAAAAGATGCCGAGTTTGTTTTCACGCATAACAGTCGAGACAGGTGTGACTAAAATACCATGACTTTGATCAGGAATGAGCAATCCTAAGCGCCAATAATTTTTGGAAGCCAGTCATTACTCATTACGTTATATTTGCGATTTAGATGGTTTGGTCCCCACAAAAATGAATAATGACCTACAGTTAGCGCAACTGCCTGGCATTTGTTATTGAATGAAACAACAAGCTTGCAACTATCAATATTTTCTATGGAGCAGTTGATATTCTACAGTAGTTCCGTATTGTTCGATAGTTAATCTCGAAGGAGGTGCTGGGCCGCGCCCGTGCCGGACCTTCGGTTTGGCGCTGCTCCTCTGACGGACCGCGCCCGGGCGCGTGGCCCAGATCCATTCCTTTTGGCAGTGTTTTCTTGGCGAGCGTTTGTGCGAGTGGCTGCGAGAAATGGTGACGTGTGCTGATGACCACAAAGCTGTCTGGCTCTGAACAGGGCGTGACGTCAGTGGTGAGTGAGCGTTGAACGCAATGATCGGGGCGTGACGTCAGTAGCGTCATTGGTGAGCAAGCGTTAAATGCGGTGATCGGGGCGTGACGTCAGTGGTGAGCGAGCGTTGAACGCAGTGATCAGGGCGTGACGTCAGTGGTGAGCGAGCATTGAACGCGGTGATCAGGGCGTGATCTCAACGTAGAGCCAGCGTTGAACGCGATGATCAGGGTGAGACGTCAGTGGGGAGCGAGGGATGAGCGCGTTGATCGAGGTGTGACGTCATTGGTGAGCGAGCGTTGAACGCGGTGATCAGGGTGTGACGTCAGTGGTGAGCGAGTGTTCAGCATGGCGATCAGTCACCGGTGACGTAACAAAGACTTGGCATTGCTTCGAGCTGACGCACTTAGCATTTCACGGCAGTGGCTCGATACTGTCGTCATCGTTAAGTGCGTCCTCTTGACCCCACCATGCGTGATGACAGCTGCGTTTCTACTAAGCAGCATGAGATAGCTATTCGCCCAGTTCCCAAGAACATCTCAGACGGACGCACCTGGCCGAGAACTTGCCCTCAGGGCGGAGCTCCCACGCGTCAACGTCCTAGCTGGAGCCCGGCGGCTATTTCTGGAGCAGACACGTCCTGCATGTGTCCGACGGGCCTGTCGAACGGCTCATTCAGGATCTCTCAACCGTGAAATAGGTTCTGCCGCAGATTTGAACCTCTTCCGACAAATGCAAATCCGTCATCGGCTTACCTATTCTTAGCGCAAACGATCGGCTGGCGGGCAGGCACCTGCCCAGATCCAGGGACCGCCGGGAGCGTCGATATCGCAGTGATCTCTTAGAAATAGCCCTGAACAGTTTGCACTGATGTCTTCAGGTGCATGTGGCGCAGGGCCCGCTGTGCTCACCACGAGCCCACCCCTTATGTATGTGAGGTTGCAGTGCAGCAGGCTATCTGACACCCACCGCCTATGTATGTGAGGTTCCAGTGCAACAGGCTATCTAACACCCACCGCCTATGTATGTGGGGTTCCAGTGCAGCGGGCTATCTGACACCCACCGCGTATGTACGTGAGGTTCCAGTGCAGCAGGCTATCTGACACCCACCGCCTATGTATGTGAGGTTCCAGTGCAGCGGGCTATCTGACACCCACCGCCTATGTATGTGAGGTTTCAGTGCAGCGGGGTATCTGACACCCACCGCCTATGTATGTGGGGTTCCAGTGCAGCGGGCTATCTGACACCCACCGCGTATGTACGTGAGGTTCCAGTGCAGCAGGCTATCTGACACCCACCGCCTATGTATGTGAGGTTCCAGTGCAGCGGGCTATCTGACACCCACCGCCTATGTATGTGAGGTTCCAGTGCAGCGGGCTATCTGACACCCACCGCCTATGTATGTGAGTTTCCAGTGCAGCAGGCTATCTGACATCTGGCATTTCCGTCTAGACAGTATTGTGGCGCTGGCTCCTGGCATGTCGTACAATGGCACGAGGCGGCCGTCGGTGCCAGGTTGACGCCCATTGGACACTTCCCAAGTGACCCGTATGCTCCGGTGGGGCCGAGCAACCCGCGCATTATGCGACTTTACCTGATGCCACTGGGATATCAGTCCGACATCAATTCTGTGGGTCACGACCGTGGCAAGGGACCCCACTCATTGACTTCACCTCCCATATATAATCAGTTTCAGCTGTGGCAGCGTTGCCATCACAGTTTGTGGCTGTGTGTGCGTCAACGGATCCCACCACAATTTAAAACTTGGCGCCCGATCCGACATCCTGATCGCTAAAAAATATCGACAAACCGCGTATGGCTCTCTTGAGATTGAGAAGAGAGTACTCATTTGAGAGGCTCGTGTCGGTTGCATATTTGCACGACTTTTCGTATCTACCAGTCGGTCGGACGCACTTGCAATACTCGCTTTTTAACTAGCATGGATACAAGTCACATGTCGGAATTGCTCTGGTGGACTGAATGGTTCGGATCGGTTGTCAGTTTCCGGTAGACATGCATAGCTTTATAAGTGATATGATCTGGAACATGCCGGGCATCAGTAAGATCCGCACGTAAAAATGCCAGATTTCGCGGGTGAGTCGGATGGCCACTATCATCACAATCTCGGGTGTACCAAGTGACTTGAATGTCAAGAGTTCACTGAGCGTTTTCAACCTGGTGCCTCTCCTGCGGATGACTTTGGGCCTTCTGACTCTATCCGTGCACAACCGTTTGATATAACTTCTGCTTGACAACTAAACATTTGATTCCACCTGCGCCTTTCAGTGCAGAACTGATCTCATTTCATCCCGACCGTGAGAACGTGGATGTCAACAATATACAAAGACGTGATCTCATCGGTGCAGCTTCACAGCTGTGAGCGGAAGGTTCTCAGCTGTATACAAACACCCGGTCTGACACAAGACCGTGATCGGAGTGACACCACCTGAACATAAACAAACACATGACCTGGCCTGCATGCCATTACCTAACCACGTCATATGTGACGTCACATGGCGGTCACAAAACCACGGTAAGTTTGAGTGCACGAGTGCACAGCTGCTGGTGAACAGACGTCAGCTGTATATGAACATCTGAGACCTGATCTCAGCCTGCCTATGACCATG